TTTTTTTTTTTTAATTAATTTTTTTTTAATTTACAAGCATGTATACCAGATTAAAAAAAATACCAACTGCTATAACTAATTAATTTAATAATAATAAATATTATTACTAATAACTTTTTTATCAATTTATATATTATAAAAAAAAGAATTATTTAATCAAAAAAAAAAAAATAAATTCAGTTAAAAATAATTAATTAAATACCACAGTTGTGTGAAAAAAAATTACTCCAAAATTATTATTAGGCATCATTCCTATATATTATGGGAATCATGCCGATATTACAGTTATAATTATAGGTATCATTCCTATAATTATAGGAACCATTCCCATAATTATAGTAACATTTCCCAAAAATTATGGGTACAATTCCCATAATTTAAGTAATCGCTCCCAAAATGGTATAGGAAAATATTTCATTAAAATTATAGGACTGATTTCCACATTTTTCTCTCCGTACCGTGTAACAAATCTTTTTAAATATACAAAAAAATCCTTCTATCAGTGTATTTATTAACATTTAATAAATGGTATTTAATAAATAATTTATTAACTGTTAATAAATATTTATTAAATCCTATCCCATAATAAAATTGAGATGAAATGTATGTGAAACCAATCTATTCGTGATGTGATTGGTCGAAAATAAATATTCTCATTCTGATTGGTTGAAAGTGAATATAATATACATAAACGACACATAAATATATCATGACAATAAATATGACGCGCGCGCTTGCGCGCGAAAATTAAATTCTAGTGATTTTAAAAAATCAATTAACAGTTAATGAAGCTTATTAAATATAAACAAATCCCTCTATCAGCGTAAATTGATAAAAAAAAATATTTTTTACCGGAAATGTATCTACCAGCCGATCATTTGAGCCATATAAAACGGTGAACTTATTATTTCTCAGCATCCTGCATCACACAAGAGTCACCCTGAGGCACATGTTCTCAGTGATGGCCACAAAGGTGGCCACTTTCAAAAGAATCTACGCCCGTATTTTTCATCCATATATCCTTCATAATAATGAGAAACTATCGACATATCCAAGACCGCAGCAATATTTTGACAATATTCCATTGATGTAAGATCGTTTTGTCCCTTCATCCGAATATATATCATGTCGTCTATTTACCGACATCGATACATCCAATCTAAGTAAAGGTGAGCAGAAGAATAAAAAAAAAACTCAACCTACCCTCAAATAGTTTTTATTTAAAAATCTTTTACTGTAGACTGTAGTCGCTTTAATCTTCGCCTTAGGGAGTTAAATTGTTCAAACGAACACCTTTCTTACCTCGGGACATCAATAGGGGAAGCACTTTTATACCTTGTTGATATTTCGGTGTCACAGAATGACTTATTGTCCCTTGTTTAATTTTTTTTCGACTCTCCAAAAGACTATGTATAAACACCAAAAGCTAAGAGTGCGTGATTCTTAATCTATTCTTTAGTAAAACATTTTTTTTTTTTTTTTTTTTTTTTTTTTTGTTAGGCTGTTTATCTTGAGGTTAAGCTTCGTTGTAAATCGCGGTTTCAAGATCAATTGATCAATGCTATTTTTTTTTACCAATTTAATTTCAGGCATATTTTCTTTCCAGATAAATATTTATTGAATATTAAAAAATATTTATTAAAATTAAATTATTAATAGTTAATAAATCCTGTCAGTGTAATATGAAATTTAAATTCTTGAAACAATTTTAAATATAATAACATAATTTAAAAATTAAAAATAAACTTTGATCGAAAAGAAGTAAAGCGTTTATTCACTAGAGACTTTATTCCAGAGAAATAATAATGGTTTATTCCAGTAAATAAAATAAACTGGACGGTTTAGTTTTTAGTATATAACCGAGCTAATCTCAAAAGCAATCGTCAATACTTGTCGGACTTATAAATGTGAGAAGGGATATTGGTAAGTCGTTTTATTGGGTATATTGGGGCCTTTGAGTGTATAAAAGATGCGAAAACTGCTTGTGCATTCAAGGGAGATCTCGGTCTTGTAGTCTCCCTGGATAGCGGAAAATATTAGCGGCACCTTTTAACACACTACCAAAAAAAAAACAATCTTGGATCTCCATTCTTCATTCCCTTCTCAATATCCTTCGCATTTTTCACGGTTCCCTTGCCTCCAATCATTCTCTTTTCTTCTGCACTCTACACTCCATTGCTACATGCTCTTTTATTCAATATTTCTTTGCTACTGTAGAAGATACTTGACTTATACTGCACACTATACTAATCCAAACTCGTGCTTCAGCAATCTCGATTGAACCAGCATTGTTTTTATTCACCGAGGCATTCCGAGTCATTTAATAAAAGGGTTAAATTAAACAGTTTGGATGAATTTTAAAATAGATGTTTTTCCTGGAAACAACGTCCTGAATTTTTATTTTTACTAAAAAATTAATAAAATTAATAAAAGATAGTTATTAGCTAAGTTAATATTTATTAATAAATAGTTAAAAAAATTATTTTAAATAAAAACTGAATTAAATATCAATTTCGTTGGGGTGATTAATGTTAAATTGTTAAATTAAACCGTCCCATCAATCAAGTGTGACTTAAATTAGAGAAAAATTTATACTTTTTTGAATTTATTCGTCCGTCTGCTTCTCATTTCAATCAGTTTCGAAGCAACTGGAATGAGTTGAGGTAATTGGCTCTATAAACGCCGCAAGTTGTGTGGTCGGTAAAGAGCAACCAAGATCATGATGAGCTTAAATATGGAAAAGAAAATATTCCGCGGTACTTGAGAAAGATGAATCAACTTGAGGTTTAATGATGCTGTTAGGTCTCCTGATTTATGCTTTTTTATTTATTTATTTATTAATAAGGCTTGACTCATCCTAGATTTACAATCTTAACATCATTGATTTTTAATTATTAAGGAGATCCAAGTACCCTTATCTAATTTGGAAATTAATTAATAACATTTGTTGAGGAAATTTCCGATAAATTTACTTATTAAATAATTATTAACATTTAGTTAACTAATAAAACGATATAGCACTCTGACCCTTGTGGAAATTTTTCGGACTTTTTTCACCCCCACGGAAAAAGTATATATTCCGAATATACCCCGTTTTGCCCGAGGAATATATTCCGGAATATATGGGCATGCACTCACTTGTATCCCGTTTTACTCAAAATTTTTCTCTGGCCTATAGTCTGGTCTGTCGTCAGATCTATAGTCTGATCCATCGTATATATACTGAATATATTCAGGTATATATAATTTTGAAATATATTCCTTGGGCAAAACGGGGTATATCCGGAATGTATTTAGAATATATTCTAGAATATATTTCAGAATATATACTAGAATATATACTTTTTCCGTGGGGGCAGAAAAAAACTTCTAAAGACTTTTAAAGACTTTTTCAGAGTTTTCGAGGTTTTTTGAGAAAAAAGTCCGAAAAATTTTCATAAGGGGAATTACCCTGTTATTACAATGTTACCATGTTATTACAATGAAAATAAAATTTTTTTAAAATCGTTAATTGCATTTAATTTTCAACCAAATACACGGCTGGTGGAATCTTCATTTTACATGTAAAAATTACAATTTTTGAACCTAATTATTTGATTAAATATCTCGAAAATCTACTGTTTTTTAATTTTTTTATTATTAGATTGAATTTACAAATTATCAGGAAGTTTAAAAAATTTGACTACTCCGCGTGGATCTCCTTAAATACTCAGATTATAAAATTCTAACTATAAGAGCCGTAGCCACCTAGTGGATTTTTTTAAAACTAACTTTTTGATCCAATTTATTTTTAATTATTAAAGATATCCAAAAACCCTCTTAGTGTAAAGAATGTCTATAATAAAATAATACGTAGAAATACTTTAATCTTAAAATTAATTTTTTAAAATTAATTACATTTTTGAGGAAATTGTCCGATAAATTTACTCATTAAATAATTATTAACATTTAAAATAGTGTCTCTAACCTTCAAATTTATTTATGTTTACTGTCTAACTCTTGAATTAATTCTTGAATTAATTCAATGAAAGTAAAATTTTTTTTAAATCGTTAATTGCATTTCATTTTCAACCAAATACACGGCTGGTAGAATCTCCATTTTACATGTAAAAATTACAATTTTCAAAGCTAATTATTTGATTAAATATCCCGGAAATCTACTGTTTTTTAATTTTTTTTATTAATTATTAGATTGAATTTACAAATATTCGAAATTTACTACGCGTGGATATCTTCATTAAGAAATCCACATGACTAGATTTGTCACTGCACTCCATCTCTCGGAGGAACGTAAACTTCTTGATAGTTCCTTTTGTTCCATCCCCACTTTTTACTACTTTTTCCACCTTTGCTTTACTTTGCGCTCTACTATCTCTAAAAATAAATATTCTCAATATTTTTAGTAGATTTCATAGAAATCTAACTATTGCATTGGTCCTCATGACGGAACTTTTAAAAAATTTTGCTATATTTCGACTATACTCGTCGAGCTGAGTCAGAAAATGCATATGGTTCAAAAGTATATATATATATATATATATATATACATATATTAGGGGCGTTAGTACAGTCCATTGAATTCGTTTGTTCCATTATTTATCAATTTAGAATAATTAAACTATGACACTGATATAAATTTTGAAATTAAATGTACGCCAACTTGTATAAACAATATTACGATTAATTAACCGAATATAATTAATATACAAGGTAAAAGCGCTGATGAATAAGACCGAGAACGAATCTGAGGTCAGCAGGATATATGCGATTTTTACTTGATCAATGCTCAACGAGAACTAACTGTCTAAGTACCTTAAGTACTTCTCTCTAAAATATTTCGACAGCCCTCATTGTCTGTCGATATCTTTAACTGTCTACTTTTTACTTCTATCCTGTGACCTCGGCTACGTTTGGTGACCATTGTCACTCCGGACTCAAGCCCATCGCCATAACCATAAAAATTATAATCGGCTTAAGTTATAAATAATTATTAAATATTCTATGCTTTACAATTTTGCTTAAAACTAACAGACAAACTGAAATATTGGGAATTTCCTATCTCTGGGAAAATCCAGCTCGATATTATCTCCGACATATATATATATCGGATCTAACGCGGCTTGTCACGACGATAGCGTCGCCAATTTACAACGGATCTCTACTAAACTCAACATACTTATTCTACAGATAAATACCAAATTCAAGTTCGAAGATGAGCTTAATCGGTCAAGTAATTTAGAAATACCAGGATTTCAAAATTTTGAAAATCATAAAAATTCATATTTTTTCACTTTTTTACTCGAATAACTTTTGAATGGGATAACTTATTGAAATTCTGTAAAATGCATCTGAAAGCTCTTTAAATAAGCTTCAATTTGAGTACTATATCATATGTGTAGTCTCAAAATTATGTCTTATTGCGCTATGCCAATTATGAAATTTGCTATTGCACTGGTTTTAGTATTTTTCTGTCGATACATATTTTTGTCGATTGCATAGAAGTTAGAAGCTCTAGTTTTGTATACAATCCTCGTTATATTTTTTTCTATTTATGATGAAATCTACTTCCATTTCGGCTGCCGAATGGTCATTTTTTTTTTCTTTTATTTAACAAAATTAGTCATAAAATTAAATATTTTAACTATTACTAATTTTTAATAAAATTTCTCATTAATTAATACTTAAAAATTAATTTTACTAATTTTTAGCAAATATATTGAATCATCTAGTGAAATTTAAATTACATAAATTTCTTAATGATTCTTAGTAATCTTCGTAGTAATGATTAATGGTGTTTAGATAAAAAAATGATAAACAACCTGAAAGTGGAAAAATATCTGGCACACACATGTTTTATTTTAAAAAAATGACGTCTCTTTTAACAATGACGCATTGTATTAGTCATTGTACTCAGAGCTATATAAGAACTACGACTTTCAATAACTGCCTTAGTTTAAAAATTTTTAACGTGAGTTAAAGATCAAACAATAAATGAAAATGAAGTTAATTATTGTCCTGTGCGCTGTCAGTATGGCGGCAAGCTGGCCAGTCTATGAGGACCCTTATCAAAATTGGGGGATTTATATTCCTCCTGAGTAATTATTTTATATTTAATTTATTTTTTTAAATTTATTATTTTCTTAATTTTTAATACATATATTTTGATTTTAGACCGGAATATTACGATGATGATCTTAATTCTGATTATAAGTAAGTTTTATTATTATTATAAATTATAATAAATAAATTTAAATAGTTAATAACAAAAAATACATTTTTTCAGTCGTCCAATAGACTTTAATCCAATAACACATAAACCTGGAATTAGAAAATCAACTACGTCAACAACAACGTATAGATCAATTCCTTACAGGTAATTAGAATTTTTTTTTCATTGGATATTTTTAAAAAAATTCTAAAGTGCACGCCTCATAATATTAATTTATTTTGTAAGAAAAAATTGAAAAGTGTGATATTAATCGAATTTAAAATTGATTATTTAAATAAATTAAAATATGTTTTTAATATATAAATAATTTTTTTTCAGTCCTGAAGAACCAAAGGTCGTAGATGTTGTGGCTATAATGAAAAAATTCTACGAGGATAATCCTTCCTATAATATTAATAATAACTATTAAAGGATTGAAATATGATAAAATAATTATGCTTAAGGTCAAGAAATCAAATTTTGGAAAATTGTAATTTTTGTTATCTACTTTTAGATAATTGAAAAAATTATTTTTGAAAATAAATATGACTAATGTTGTACATCAAAGTGTACAAATATAGCTGAGTAAATAAATAATAAATTACTAGCAACCTGGCAGTCACTACGTGACTGCCGTGATTTGTGAACTGAATAAATTAAAATTTTGTTATATTAAATAATTAATTTTGTTAAATTACACTGTACTTTCTTAAATATTGATGTTTTTAAAGATATAAGCTCATTGTGATGATACACTCTTCAAGAGCTTTCATTTGAGTACCCACATGCATTTTTTATATATTTGTCAAATATACATATATATGATATATAAAATATATGAAAAATTGATGTGGGTACTTAAATGGAAGGTCTCAATGAGTGCAACATCGAAATGAGCTTATATCGTTAAAAATGTCAATAGTTGACAAGATACAAGGTAATTTCTTAATTAATGACATTTTTTAAGATACAAACTCATTTCGATGTTAAACTCATCGAGACCTTTCATTTAAGTACCCACATGGCTTTTTTTTTTATATATTTTATATATTAGATATTTGTGGAATATATAAATATATAAAATATATGAAAAATTGATGTGGGTACTCAAATAAAAGGTCTCGATGAGCGTAACATTGGGATGAGCTTATATCTATAAAAATGTCAATAATTAACAAGATACATTGTCATTTCATAATTAATGACATTTTTCAAGATATAAACTCATTTCGATGTTACACTCATCGAGAGCTTTCATTTGAGTACCCACTTGCATTTTTGATATATTTTTCATTACATACATATATATAATACATATAAATATATAAAATATATGAAAAATTGATGTGGGTACTCAAATGAAAGGTCTCGATGAGTATAACATCGGGATGAGCTTATATTTTTAAAAAACTGTCAATATTTCACAAGATACTAGGTAATTTCTTAAG